TTTTCGCCATTGCGGATAAGCCGCGTCGATTTCTGTGCCTCCTCCTCTGGCTCTGGCACTCTGTGCTTGATTAACCGATCTTGTGTCCACTATGTACCTATAAATAAAATTCAATGACTATAAACCCTGATGAAAATTTGTCTCAAAATTTTTCATATAATTTTTCAGAATTTCTATATAATTTTATAACTTTTTCACATTTTTTATACGAATTGGAACACTTCTTAGAAAATCTATATTTTTTTCTCAGAATTTTTCATATATGTTAATTGAAATATCGTAAGATTTCTAAGATTTTTTGTAAATATAATTTCTGATGAAATATTATAAATTCTAAAATATTTAAAAATATTTTTTCTTAATTATGAAATGAGAAATCTCTGAATATTTCAGAATTCACTTGTATGAAAAATTCTGAGAGAAGATGTAAACTTTTCGAATATTTCTCAGTATTATCGAAAAATCCAATTCGTATAAAAATTATAAGAAAAATTTTTATCAGGGAATACAAAAAAAAGAATATTTACGATTTAAGAGCAATATATTTACCCACGTCTTCCAGGACCTAGAACTGCATTTAACAGTTTTTCATCTTCTTTGCATCTCTTACCGGTAGCACCACATAACGGTTGACTGCTTCTCAACAATATACTCTGCAATAAAAAAGAAAAGTCACAGTTGAGTAGATGTTACTTTATAATTTAAAATAATAAATCTATTTTTTATTTTTACACAGACTGCAAAACTTTCTTTCTCACTTTCGTTATACACAATATATATATTTCACTTAAAGTTTCAAAAATATACACTACTAGTTCACACAGAGCTATACAAATACAGATCTAATAATATAATATATTACTTACCCCTCCTTCGTGTCTGTAACATAAAACTGGGAATCTTCCACCATCTCTAAAGCCAGCTGAAGCTATTACAACTTTGTCGTCTACTTGACGCGGTACTATAACTGCCGACGGATACGATATACAAACTTTGTAGTCTCTGTTCAGATAACTGATACGCCATTCATCTCCGTGAGCCGCCAACAACCTAGACCATTCGGAGACAGGTGCAAACGCTGTCCATCCATCTTCTACTTGTACCATGATGTTGTTAGTTGTCTGTGGTCGATAGAAAAATGGATATTGTAGAGTTTGGTCTGCAAAGTAAGGGATAATTGTATCTCACTGATGAGCAATGTTGCAAGTTATATCAATAAATTACCAAGTGATATCAGCTTCTCTATAGATAGTATGGCGTTGATTAAATCGTTAGTAGAACCAATATCTAACTGAAGAATTTGAAAATCCTTGCATTTCAATATTATGCTACCACCCGAGCTTTGAGTATTCAGTTTCTTTTCCACGACGTCGATATTCCTATTCATCAGCTGGTAAAAAGAAAAAAATTCAATGAAGTTAAAAACTGATTTGTGGAGAAGAATGTACTTGAAAATAGTCAAAACTTTAATTTTTTAAATATATTTTTAAAAAATAGATGATGCTTTCTTTCAAAGTCAAAAGACTAAATGATGTCTGTTTTTTGTCATTGCATTGAACTACATCAAAACTTTCTTGCTTTTGCTAAATTTCCAATATTTATATATTAGGTGTTGGAATTAATTCGTAGCGTTTTACAAGTGATGGGAAGTACTTTCATTAATGTATTTTTTAATGCTCATGTGAAATAAATAACATTCTTTCATTAAAAACGCTACGAATTAATTCCAACACCTAATATATAAAGTTAGACATCTAAAATATACATATTTTTAATATATAAAGTTTTATATATATACATATATCTTTTATTTTTTAGAACATACAATGTCCTTTAGATATCTTTATGACATTCCTTGGAATAGTGATAAGAAAAAGATATTTACAACTGCATTTTCTTTACAACTTTAATCTGTATGTATTGAGAAATTTATAATTTATTAATGTTTACCCAAAGTTCCTGTCCGTCATCCTGCCTGGAGGACAAGATGAGGTGGTGACCGCTAATGCACAGCGTCCCATCTATGTTCTTGTTATTGCCATCGCTTTTATCGACCAATACAACATTATCAACTTGCGGAATTAATATATTATCGCCGATGTGATCGCCCATTATAGCCTTAATTCCTCTCTACGTGACGGCCGACGAGGTTCTCGATAAAATTCGAACACTTTGACGGAATAACATAACCTAAACAGTCCGTTGATTCGTCGGACTGTCACAAGATTCTCCAGGCATAATTTGCTTAATCAATTTCGACTTTTCCTTTGAAGATTCACACTTCAGCGACGGATTCGTCGGCGACGTTCCCCATTTATCTCGATAATGACTAGATAAAGGTAAAGGTAAAGTCACAGCTGTTGTGCGACTTGTTTATTATCTATGCGATCCATGTATATAATCCATCGCACCATCCACTGACGTGCATCACTTTGCTCCCGATAACACAAATGGAGAGAGAGAACGAGAGAGAGAGAGAGAGAGAGAAAGAGGTTATATCGAGAACCACGTGACCGTAATCACATAACCTATTGAATGACACAGATGATTAAGACAATGACGAGATGATAAAAGTACAGTGATGGTTCGGCGATGGGATTTTGATATCTGACGGTCATATCCATATCTAACTGATGAAATGAGAGAAATGCCTCGCAATTACGATATCGAGGCAACTTGATTCCATGATCAATTCTTTGATTTATGCGCGAGCAAACGGCGAGAACATTGTCACGAAATCAGAGGAAATCTAGGACATCTCTGAGGAAGCTGTATCACGGGATGACAGTGTCACATTTGAATTATTGTTGCTTCCTAGAAGAAGAAGGCGAGTAGTACGTACTTTTAAATTGTTCTACATTGTGTCCTTTCAACAACGTTTAGCTTCACTCTTTACCGCTATTAATGACGTTTTGTTCTAGGCTTTCTACAGTTTCTTAAGTCATCAGCTGCTTTCCATTTACACACAAGTGAGACTGAGTCTGAAGTGAGCCGAGTATTTCATACTCTGATCAATGACGTAACTTGGTTAACTTAGTAAAAAGTTATCACATGACAACACAGATTCCCTAATAGCAAAATGTTAGCAATTTCCGCGCAAATTGACAGCAAACTCAAATTTTTACTACAAAATCATAACCACCTGTGTTCGCATTTAGCTATGGATTTGTCGACAAAGCCTGCTGATGTTTTGACAGTAGATTGCTGAAAAAAATCGAGCAGAGTCTGTTGACATAACCTGACAGCAGATTAGCAGCAGAAAGCAAAATCTGTCATTTTCATTAAAATAACTGGTTTTTTATAAGAAATTTTATATACATATATATAAACAGTTATATATAATTATACATAAATATATATTTATGTATACTAATGTGAAAACAGGAAACAATCAATACAATTTTATTGCTAAAATATTATTGATTAGCTTCATATTTTAAAATACACATGAGAAAGTTATAAAATAGTCCAAAAAATATTCAGAGATTCAGAAAGCACACTTTGAAAAAGTTGGGAAACTCTAGGAAATTTGCCTATTTGATTTACACATCAATTCTTATAATCTTATACTCCTAACGTTTTTCTTCTTACGAGAAGCAAGTCTCATGATGCATTTCATATATGAAAATGACAGATCTTGCTCAATTTTCTGCTGCCAATCTGCTGTCAGGTTATGCAGCAGACTGTTTGGTTCCTGTCATCAATTTACTGACATAGCATGTCAGCAGGCTTTGTTATATTTTTGACAGCAGTTTACTAACATTGTCTGATTGTATAAACTTTGTGTACAGTTACTTTTCTGCAATAAAAAATTGATAGCAGACTCTACTCAAAATCTGTTTTTATAGGCTTTGCTATTAGGATTCATCTCATTTTTCAAGTGAATTTATGAAATTTACTAAAACATATGGTCTCAATCTTGTACAGATTATAGATAAAAAGTCAGTCGAGTCTCACTCGTCTTCTCAGAATGCAAAAGAAATGTTCATTCAACTGAGTTATGATATCACAAGTAAGAATTATCTGAGAATTAGTATAAATGGAAAGCAACTAATTATCTAAGCTTTAAGTAAGCCTATAAAGAAATTGATCAATCATAATCGATTATTCTTCTCACATTCGATTGTGACTAGTCAATTTCTTATTGCTTAAAACTTAAAGCTTGAGTAACGGCTTATTGTAGAAGGTAGGTCTGTTGCTTGAAATCCTCAATATTGTTTTAACTTAAAATGAAATAAATATGTATTCAAGCATTGAGAAGAGAAAGCGAAGATGCTGAGTGTAAAACATCACAAACAGACCTTGTGTGTTGATGTAATATTATATCTGTAACTTCATTTTATCTGTTATTTTATTTTCACACGTCTTTGTGATCAGAACAAATCTAATTGAAATATTCATTTCTTATGCTCATAGCTCCATTGCCGCGAAGGAATCGCGAGTTGCCACAGTAAAATTGTGGATCGCTGTGGAAAACGATTGACAGCTGTTTTCTCCATTAACAAGGACAACCGGTGAAAATAGAAACAGGATGGAAGATAGCGGCGCAACGAAGTGTCACGTGACCACTATTATTCGAGATGGTATCGAGTGTCACGTGACCACGATTGACCGAGATGGTATCCGTGGAGCTCCGTGAGGGACACCGTCGATTGGTGGCGCCACCGATAGCAAGCAAGGCTGGCATTCCACGAAGAGGAAAGCAAGCTTTCTGGTGTAGAATCGAACTGAATCGAATAAAGTTGAGTCAGTAAATAATTTGATTGACATTGTGACGCTACATTTACTAACGTTAGCGATCTGCTAGGCCGCATTGGTGGCTCGCGGTCCATTTTTTGAAGGTGATTAAGTGTAATTAGGAATACAAAAGCATCATCCTGGAATCTTTCTACAAGGTAAAGGACCTATTTAAGTTCAACATCTTGAATATGCTCGCGTGCACTTTAGCAGTGCTTTCTTCAATAATAATCACATCGAGAATACTAATGTCTTGTAGCAAATTACTGGGAGAATCTATCCAGATCCTAGAAGCAGCCACTTGGACCCTCGAATTGTTACTAGTATGCAGCAGTTTTTATCCTTATAGGTAATCTCGCAGACATAAAAATAATATTACCTAAATACGAGAAGTGCCATGATCAAAGTTAGATGTTAAACTAATGTATTTACATTCTACAATAAGTCATTAATAATAAATCGGAAGTCAGAAAATAAAAATTGACCAATCACAGTCAAATGTAAGAAGAATAATTGACTATGATTGGTCAATTTCTATCTTCTGACTTCTGATTTATTACTAATGGCTTATTGTAAAATATGTGTAATACATATTCTTTAAAATTTATCTCATCATTAATACTTTTTATTGGCCTGCTCCAATTTGACTTTATTGAATTATTCAAAGTTATGATGAATCATTATTTTTCAGAAAATTTGTAAATTCTATTTATATTAATAAGCCATAAATTAAGTGAACACCACTGATTTTGGTCCTTTTCGTCCTTATTGTGAAAAATTTCATTTTTTATTAAATATAAAGTATTCTCCATATAAATTTTATACTAAATTTTATAATGTAATAATTATGTAAATAGATTATGACTGCTTTTCTTTTAGGAGACAGTTAATGCAAATATTATTCTGCGTCCAGTATTTATAATTGATTCTTATATTTAAGAATATTGTCTTATATTTAATAATCAATTGAATACCGAATGAATACCGACTACAGTCTTATATTTAAAATTCTTATATTTAAAACTGATAGCTATGATATGATGCTAGTTTCTTTCAGAATTACTAGTTGATTTAGATTCTTGCTTCTTAGATTGTATTGACTGCGATGTTGGCATTGGCATTACTTTAATCCAACTAGCAAGACCTGCTTCTAGCAGCACTGTGTGCCACTGGCTTAAGATTATCTTAAATACAGTCATGATATTTCAACAGATATCATGAGTCATATTACAAATATCACAGAGCCGTCTCAAGATGGTTTTAAAATAAGAACGGACTGAACCAGTTTATTTTTGAATGCCAAAAAAAAAAATAGAACATTTGTGTCGACTGTGGTCAGTATTCATAGTCTGTTCTTATCATAAGATTATAAATAATGTCTTAAGATGCTGATGTGCTCTGTGATTAATGCTTAAGTCTGTATTTAAGATGATCTTAAATATAAGAACCGACTATGAATACCCCCATGAATACCCCAGTACAAGCATAGCATGGCAGATACTAGTCTATCATGCCAAAGGTTCTAGATACGATTCTAGGAACCAAAATATTTACGCTCCTATCTCTTGAAAAAAGTCGGCAATCTCCCAAGTATTCTTACCTACAGAAACATCTTTCGAAAAATCTGCTGTTTGGAACCGATATTAAAACTGTTGGTCCCATATGCTTGTAGCAATTGAATAATCAATGTGTACATCACAAGCTGTATGAAAGAAGCATAACATAGGCCAAAGGTCTAATGAGAAAAAAGAAGGAGAAGACTGAATACTAATCTCCTAAAAGAAAAGCAGCATATACATACATATGGATCTATACAATGGCATATCTAAAAGCCACAGCACAGTACACACTTGCATTGCATAATGCATAACACATAGTATATAAGAGAATCAACCAATCAGAATCGTTTTTTTCCTTGTATTTTTCAAAAAAGAGGAACTTTAATTAGTTGATTCTTTTACTTTGCAAAATGTGTGCTGTGATCTTAAGGGATACGTTTTTTCAGTAAACCAATTAGATGTTTTCAGTCGAAGGTGATGACCAAAATGGCGTCCCACGAGAGCAGCGAAGGTTCGAGAAAATCGCCCATCGCAGACAAAGTAAACACGACAATAGAGTTAACAACGAACGAGGTAAAATCAACTGCTTCACCGCCAGTTGATCGGCATGATGAGCTGAATGAAACAGTTACTGATAAAAAAGAAAAGAGTTTAACATTAGATACAACTGCTGATTGTACAAGCGTGGAGAAAAATGATTCTGATGATATAAAAAGTGAAACTACCAAGGATTTAAAATCATTGGTAATTGATAAGCAGGATGATACTAAGACGGACAAGAAACAAGAGACACAAAATATAGACTCTCTTGTAGAATCTCAAACTACAAATAAAGAAAAGGAAGTTAAAAGCGTAGATAGCAAAAATTCTGTAAAAAAAGAAGAAACTTTAAAACGAAAACGAAGAACTTTAAAGTTAGTATTGTGTATTATATCTTTATAGAAAATTTATAAATACATTATGTACATATAAAAAGAAGGATATTGATATTTTCAGCAAATCGACGATGGTGGAATCTTCTAATTCTTCGACAGAGGAAAGTGGCACGAGAGGTAAGAGAAAGAAATTTATGAAGACTGGCTACGATCGATTTTGTTGGCGATGTCACAAGGAGAATATTGATGCCTACTGTACCGCCTGTCCTCGTTCGTATCATCGTAAATGTATAGGAGGCATGCCATCATCTTTGGATAAGTGGATATGTGGGGAATGTGCGACCATTTTGAAAGCAGAAAACGCCGAGACGCGTTCCGTAGCCATGGCGCAATTATCAGTCGATCAATTGTGCATGTTGCTCAAGCATGTGGTTGAAAAATTACGCGACTATCCCGGTGTATGTATATTTTTTATTAAGTGCTATTTTTTATTAAGTGTTTATTGCCTTATAATTTATTTATTTAATGTATTTTTGATTGATTTTTATTCTTGATATAGTCTGAGCCATTTTGCAAACCGGTGGATCTCGTAGAAGTACCGAACTACCTAGAATATGTTATCAAGCCTATGGACTTGAGCCTTTTGGAATCGAATGTGCGGGCTAAACTTTATGGCAGTACCGATGCGTTTATGGCCGATGCAAAATGGATTCAACATAACTGTATTGTGTTCAATACGTGTATGTGAATTTGCTGTGCTTTAATTCATGATTTCTAAATCGTGAACATTAAAGTCAATTGATAAATAAGCTTATCTTTTGTTTATATCTATAGGCGGTGGAGTTTATGCAGATACGTCGAAACTGACAAACGCAGCGAAGCAAATCATCAAAGTAGCACGTCAAGAAATCTCAGAAATTGATGCATGTCCCGATTGCTATGCACATAGTCGAAATTTGCCAAGGCATCAACCTTCGTGGTTTATTGAGCCCTGCCGTCGACCTCATCCACTTGTGTGGGCCAAATTAAAGGGTTTTCCGTTTTGGCCGGCAAAAGCAATGCCTCGCACGAATTCTCAAGGATACGTAGATGTGCGTTTCTTCGGTGAACACGACCGCGCCTGGGTGTCTCCGAAGGACCTTTTCTTGTACTCTGAAGAGCCACCATCGCCATCTCCTCGTAAACGGAAATCCGACATGGATGAGTGCGTAAAAGAAATTACTCGACATTGTAGAAAACTCGCGCTTATGTTTGGCCAGTTCAAATTTGCTCCATCCAAAATTCAGTACGATCCGAACAATCCATTGCAGATACGACTGATGCTACCGAATTATAATCCCCTCGAACCTAAGAACCATCTTCCCAATCCCAAAGTTCCCACATCTCAAAAGAAAAAACCGCCACAAAAAAGACAAAGTTCTTTTAAAGGTAAATCACAGAGTGATGAATTGACTAACATTAGTGAAATAGATATTGACCCATCAAGTGATGCTTGTGAAAAGGAGAACGAAGCAACATCGCCAAAAGTACAAAAATTAAATACTGATGTTAAGGATACTTCAAGCTCGCAAACTGATTTAAATGATAGTAATAAATTGAATAAGAAAGCAGATCAAAAAAATGTAAAGTCAAACTCTCAAGAAGTTGCTCAAAACAAAACGGTAAAAAATGGAAAATCAAGTAATGCGAAGACATCAACTTCTCGATTAAACATTGTGCATACAGAAACTGATGCCGAAAATAATAGCATAAATCCTAATGCTAGTATTTCAAATAATAGCCTAAGTTCTAATGCTAATATCTCAAACAATAATATAAATTTTAATGTTAGTATTTCAAATAGTAGCACAAGTCCTAATGTTAGTACCTTAAGTAATAGCATAAATTCTAATGCTAGTATCTCAAATGAGAATAATTCACAGAAATCGAAAAATGAAGTGAAATCATTTATAAAAATTTTGCCTAAGCCTGCAATTTATCCAGTTACTGATACAGTAGTGCAGAAGAAATCCCTTTTGAAAAATATTATTAATCCTAAAGTGACATTCTCACAAATAGACAACCCGAAGGTAATAACAAAGTATACAAGAAATAACAAAGCGTTCAAGCTGAAAACAAGTATTGTTGATAAACTAAATGCAGAGAAAGAATTGATGTCTCTATCCGCGAGCAAAGAAGATGAGAAATTGTCGAATTCAAACAAAGGCGTTCCTAGAATATCACTGTTGAATGATCCATTGAGTGTAAAAAACATGCCTGAAATCGATATAACTTTATCGTCTGCATCGAATGCAAGTGTTACTCATACCATTACATCGACGAATCCAGTTGTTCCTATAACGGATAAATCTGTGTTGCTCCTCGTGGTTCCCAATGGAAAACCTACTGAACCCGCGAAACAGGTCGCATCAACGATCGACCTTAATCAAGGCAACAATGAGGGACACCTTAATTCTCAAAAAGCTAAGAAGAGTTTCCCTAAATCTAATTCCAAAAATATTCAACATTCGTCGAATGCAGATGGAATTATGGAGATTTCTCCGATTGGCCAAGAAACACCATCCACATATCAAGTGACACCTCCAGAGGCCGGACCAATCAGCGCACGTTTGCATCATGATGCACATGAACTTGCGAGAAAAATGGGCTATTTAATGGAAGAGGCGTACAAGGAGGCAGCCCAGAACAGTATTAACGACGAAAACGGTACCACTGACAATTATCAGGCGACCATACTTTTTCTACGAAAGCAGATCGAGCATATGAAGTGGCAACATCAACAACAGCTAACTGAATTGAAACACAACGCCGGTATATCTATTTTTTCTTTATTGCAAAAAACATTATTTAACAGTTACCATTAACATAAGAATACTTCAGGAAACATTATAAATTCCAGATCGTACTCAACGTGAGATGCGCGCGAGTATGGAAGCGGAGAAATTGCGATTGATTGAGGAAGTTCGTAAAAAGATCGAAGATGAAAAGAATCGATGTATCGAGGAGACTAAGAAGAAACAATGGTGTGCCAAATGTGGACAGGAAGCAATGTTTTATTGTTGCTGGAACACTGCTTACTGTAATTATCCGTGTCAAGAGTCACATTGGCCCATACACATGCGGACATGTTCTCAGCAATCTGCATATGCTACTATTGTCAGTTCAAATGCAAATTTGAGTTCACAACAGGTAATGACTCGTATTAAATATTAATCACATTATTTTGAACTTGAAAAATCTAGAGTGAATTAGTATAAATCCTAGCAGTCCAAACAGAAAATAGCTTGAAAATACTATGTTATTCTAATTTCGAAAACTTTCCTTGCTCGTTTAATTTTCTTTTTAATAAAAATTAAAAATATTTGCGATATAAAGAAATTTGAATATATAGATAAGAAATACTGTCTCATCTGATATTATATATTTGTTAATAATTCACATTTTATTGACCTCTAATAGAATTTCATATTTTTAAACTTACACTATTATGCTCTAGACGCTTCAAAGCTGAATTTTAATTTTAAATTATATTGCGAATAAATCATGTTTTACTATGATTTTGAAGTATTTATATTTTTCAGACTAGTTATGTCATTGCTGAGAATTCCGCAGCCAAAACGTATCTTCTATCATCCAACATGAAATTGAATGCAATTCCGTCTGCTTCGTCCGTTAATAGAGATAAAACCAGTCAAGATACGCAGTAGGCAAATAGCAATTTATTTGTAATCGAGTATCAATGCGAGTAAGATGAAAAGAGTTTCAGTAATACTGCAGGTAAATTCGCATCTGCAAATAATCAACAAGTCTTGATTTAAACTATAAACTGCAATGTTTATTACTTACAATCCGAAATCGTATATTTAATATGTAACTAATTTTCTTTCTGGAAGATATTTTCAATTACATGATGTAAATATTTCGTAATGCTGTCTTTATAATTTTTGACCTTAGATCAATACTGACACATTACGAGAAACACAAAGGTAATGCAAATTATTGACGTTTATAATAAACTATAATGGTACTTTAATTTAATTAGCATTAAACAATGATAATTTAATAATTATAGGAAAAGTATGAGAGATATAATAAACTATGCTTAAAGAAATGTTAGATATTGTTAGCCGATAATTTTTTGTAATATAACAGTTATATGTATCAAACAATGGGAATACCAAGTTTTATTTCCTCTGATTAGACTGAATTACACGCGCGCGCGCGCGCACGCACGCACGCACACACACACACACACACACACTGTGGGACAATAAAAATATTTTCAGCTGTGCTCCCCTAACACACACACATACACACACAGAGGGGGGGGGGAAGAAGAGAATAGTTCAGTCCTCCAACTTTGTATTTAAATTATACAACGAGCTTCTCAAGTATTCGCGAGAAACATTAAAAATTTACGTGTTTATAATGAACTAAATAATAGCGTGGCATAATCAGGCTATATTTCGATATTCACTGCTAATATTGCAATTCTATAGTTATATGTTCTATAGTATATGTTATGTGCATTATAGATTTCCAGCACTGGTAGTGAATATCGGAGCGCAACTTCAGTAAAGGCGTCTGATATAACGTGCGGAGAGAGGGAGGGGAATCTTATTTTAAAAAGTCTTATTTAAAAAAAAGTTTCTCATCTGCATTATGAATGTGTATTTTTTTATATTTAACCTGAAAATAATGTTTAAAGATTATTAAACATTAATTTTTTAGATCAAATATTAAAAAATATACATACACAATAGGTTGCATGTAAAAAAATTTGTAAAAATGAAATTCAAACCCGAGATTTTGCATTGTAGTCAACCTTTATTGACTACGTCGCACCGCTTATTTGCCTCGTTCTTACTGATCAGCACATTCCGAACATGTAAATTTTTATAACGTATTTTTCTGCTTGAGAGATAGGATAATTTTAACACGAATAGTTGGAGAACTGAGCTATTATACATATAAAATTCAATCAAATCGACGGAAATAGAACTTGATGTTTCCCTTGTAAATATTATAATAACCTTGTTTGGAATTTGATAACACTACTTTTCTAACTATAACACTAACCACTATAACTTCTTAGTTCCTCTACAGATAAAATTGGAAAACACGAGATAAGAGATAAAAATTATTTTTTCAACAAAGCTTCATGACGTAAACAATATAAACACATCTCTGGCATAGGATAATTGACATTCTCGTGAAGAACATGCATAAGCATTTATTTCGGTAAAATCTGACACATGTGTAGACACAAATAATATTCAATGCGTTTATTAATAAATCAAGTAAAGATATGCAGAAATGTATATTGAACATGTTTATCTCACAACATTCCTTTTCCATTAATTTAAACATGTTTAAAAGACATACAACCCAATATAACTCATTTTTTTATCTTTATTCTTCAAAGAAAATTTTCTTTTTCAGATTAAATGCAATTTGTAATTGTTTTGTAAAAGAAAAAAAACACGGTTTTGTTTTGCAGCTGTAAAATAATTTGGAAATATATGAGAATTAAATACAATAAATACCAAAAAATACGTGGAAATGTTTAAAATCTCGCGCCTATGATGCAGCGATTATTTCGCCCAATATGGCGAACGGAAGTAGACGTCACCCAGTGCCAACTGCCAGCCAACGAGGCTCTGTGGTCGGGCTGCTCTTTCTATGGGAGGAAAAGCACTTTTCTCCGTTCCCGCGGCCTCCATACGTTTTTTTTCATAGTGAGTACGTGAAACATACGTCACCTACGAGTAACAAGCCTTCGGCTGTTACTTTTTAACGTAACGTGCGCGATTCTCCAAAAGATTGGCTATCAATCTCGCGTTTTCTCGTTGATTTTGCGAGAGAGAGAGAGAGAGAGAGAGAGAGAGAGAGAGAGAGAAAAAGAAAAAGAAAGACATCGAGGAACTAATAATCGTCTATTGTCAATAAACAAGAGAGTGAGAGAGAAAGAGATAGACGGAGATCTGGTGAGCCGTTGTCTTGGAATAATTAATCGCTCGTCAATCATATGGCGAAAAGGAGAGAGAGGGAGAGAGAGAGAGAGAAGAATAGCAAGTCGTCATAGATTCCACATCGCAGTTCCATTCCATTCCGCCTTGTCTGCACTTTTCTACACTTGTCGCAAGTAAAATTAAATATTTGTCTTATTAGATTGTCAGCGAAGAACATGAGGTTCTCCAGGAAGGTGGAGAGAAGTGCAGCCGAGAGGAATCGGATTGCCGGGATACGCGAATGCGTGCGATGAGCTCGATGACGACAACGACAATGTCGACCTCGCATCTCGCTTCCTATTAGAGAGTTCAAGGTTGCGAGGTCGGATTTAAACAGTCAGTCGATCGAGTCACGTTGCTAGATTGTGATCTCTCGTTAATTTGCTTTGCTATTGTTGCAGAGTCATTCGTTAGTTAACTCATACACAGCACAGTCGACGTCACATAATCGCAGCTATAAATATGTTTATTTGGGATTGGTTCGCTGGAGTGCTGAATTATCTCGGTGGGTAGAACTCTTTTTCTCCCATTAATTGCATTAATGCAAGTAGATAGTAAGTTTATTGTCTCCTAATCACTGTTTTTACCAAGCTTCAATCTTGTTATAGATATTATAATTGTAATAAATTGCCTTCAGCAGAAGAAGCAGCTTTACTGTTGTAAAATTGTTTAATATGATTGGTTTATGCATTTAGATCCAGCGAGGAATTGAAGATCAAGAAGTACAATCATATATTAAGGAATCTTACAACGCTTGTAAAGTTGCTTTCTGAATGCATCCACTGTCATGTTAATACTTAGAGTATTTAGAAATTATAAATATAATGTTACTGAGAAGATTCTGTTACTAAAACAATTATCTGAAATACAATATTTAAATAATTTCATTGAAAAAACAATTGTAAAACTCTTATAATAATTGTATAAGCTCTTTTACTCTGAATTATTTTTAAGAGGATAATATTTGTTAAATATGTGCACTTATCATATTTGTTATCTGACAAAGTAGGTAGACATTTTATAATTTATGGAAATTTCAATATTAATTTATTTCATTCCATGTAACATTTCTTATTAGCAGCGTAAATTCATATAAATATTCTGTTTCTCAACAAATTTGTTATATGGTTGATCTTGTTGGTTTTAGGACTATGGAAGAAGAGTGGCAAGCTTCTCTTCCTAGGTTTGGATAACGCAGGTAAAACTACATTGCTTCATATGCTCAAGGATGATCGTTTAGCTCAACATGTACCTACATTACATCCAAGTAATTATACTTTGTATAAACTATATATCTTTATTACTGCAACAAATAATGAAAATCAACATTTCACTGAGTTATTAATGATGCTTGTTCTAGCATCTGAAGAATTGTCTATCGGAAATATGAGATTTACAACTTTTGATCTTGGGGGTCATACTCAAGGTATGCAAGAAAAATGTATATCTTATGTTCCATTTTATTCTATTGTAGAATAATTGCTCATACTGTTGCAAATTGTATCTCTACAGCACGTCGCGTATGGAAGGATTATTTCCCAGCTGTTGACGCGATAGTGTTTCTCGTCGACGCAAGTGACAGAACAAGATTACCAGAATCAAAAGCCGAGTTAGATGCATTGTTAACTGACGAGCAACTTAGCGCATGTCCGGTTCTCGTGCTAGGCAATAAAATTGACAAACCATCCGCGGCTTCTGAAGATGAACTCAGAAACTTCTTTAATCTGTATGGACAAACAACAGGAAAGGTATTTCCATATAAATCGAAATAGTAATTCTCTGTATTAGTATAAGAACTAGTATAAGTATTAGAATGATAAAATTTTTATCGGCTTCTCATTAAGAAATGTAATCGAAAATTTGTAGGGTAAAATTGCTCGCAGCGAAATACCCGGCCGTCCGCTGGAACTATTTATGTGCTCAGTTCTGAAGCGGCAGGGATATGGGGAAGGCTTCCGTTGGCTTGCACAGTACATCGATTGAACGTACATATTATTATACACGTGACAGATTCTCGACAGTCCTCATCATTTCCCTTTCCTATGGTATCGATATCGCTACCGAAATCTTCATATGAATTCAGCAGTAGGAGAGGAAACATCGTTCATCGAAAAAGAAAAAAAAGAACAAGCAGTAACCGAAATTTAAGACAATTTTCACAAATAGAGACATGAGACAAATATTCTCGAGAACTTACGTGCAAGGGATAGGACAGATTTCCTTTCTTTGACGTTGATATACAATGAAAAGCTCATAAACGTCATTTTTTTTAATACTTCGAATCCTAGATGGATTCTATGGAAGCCTATCACTTTGCGAGTCACATTAAGGGAATGATCATAATACGTGCTGAAGAATGAAATAAAAACATTTTGATAAAATAAAACTAATAAACTATTTAAGAATTCCAAATGTTTTGTAGATTTATTTTTGGTGATTTATTTATTTTTAGTGACGTTATTAAAAGAGAAATATACATAAATTACAATGCAGAAAAATATATTGCAATCGTATATGTCGTAGTTTTGGGAAATTGAGAATTTGCAGTATGTTATGAAAGTTAAGTTGATTCGTTAACCGATTCTTTCTCTTTTTTCATTAATTTAAAATGTCATAGTTATTCACAGAATCACTGAATGACTGCTAAATGCTGTTTTATATTTAGTTGCTGGTGTTTACTTTTATGTTTACTTTTATGTTTTTATTTATAGTCTTATATTTGTGCCAATATTTTGAAATCTATTATTCAGGAAATGCAAGATATATATGAATATAATTTCTCTTTTGACAATGCTTACAAAGATCTATCAAATTAATCGAAATTATTAGATAGAATAGTTATAACGTTTTCATCTCATTATGGAATTGCATATCTCAATAACTGATATATTGTTTAAAAACCAGCATATATCATCCTTAATATTTCAAAACAATCTTCAATTCTTTATGATCTGTAAATTAAGTTACTGTTATAAGTTGATGATGTTCATAAATTATGTAGATAGCGGGAAAATTTATTAATTTGTTTATAATCTAGCTTATAATTCTGGAGTTGCTTCCAAAATAAAAATCAAAGTTACAAACAAAAAAATTTTTACGTAATAGTACTTAGGTTGTAAATACTTATATTGTCTTTATTTTATACCAATAAAATATATGTTGTTTTATATTTTACCCAATTATATACAAAATAATTTTTGATAAATTGATTTATATTATAATCTGTTGCGAGAAATATAAAAGATTAGATCTGAAAAAAGTTAACAATTTTAATACTTGTCAAGATCTGTACAAAATTTAGAAACTTATTTTTATAACAATTATGTGTATATATATATATACATACATATATATATATATATATATATATATATATACGTTAACAAAAAAGAAATCTCAATTTCTATAGTTTGTTGGTACACAACTGCAATTCTTTCTCCATAGGAAGTACTGGATGTCAAGGATGTCAGCTTCTATAATGATTTTCGAATCTTTGTCAATTAGGAGAGCTCTGACACCTATAATTGATCCAAGAATAGAGGATTTGAAAGACATACGTTAAATTCTATCTTATTACTATCATAAAAATCACTATCTCTCAGAGCGGTACAAAACCAATCTAAATTCAATCTTCAAACAATTCGCTAAGAATTTTTCTTTTCCTTCATCGATCGTTCTTTTAGTGATTTTGAAAGAAGACGGAGACCTTTTGAGTAGTACATTTATATTTTTTGTGCCCAGTCTGTATTATAATTATCTTTCTTCAGCCTTTATACAACAAAGTTATGCATTGGTGTTTATTGATATTATAAGTGAAAATATATTGATTTCAATTTTTTAATATCTATTTCATCTTATCATCTCTATATTAAATATAATAAAAATAATAATATACAATATGTAACATAATGGAAATAAACAGCAAGTACAAAAGACTTAATACACATAATAGTAATTTTAAATATAATAAAATATATTAAATATAACAAAAATAATATATTTCAATATGTAACATCTACTTAGTACAATTATATTATTAAATTTATAATTTTTTAAATTAAAATCTCTTAATTTTTATAATAATATATTACGATAACATAATATTCACATAGTACACTAGCGCATTAATTCGTTGGATCATAGTAGCGGCCCAACTTACCGACGTTTATTTTTTATTCAAATACGATCAACTTAATTTACAGAAAAATAACAAGAGACAAAAATCATTTGTTTTCTTCTGATAGAACTTTAAGAATTTTTTCAGAATTTTTTATCAACTTTTTAGTATTACATTTATTATTACACTTATTTTCGATAAGTCGGGCCGTTATGTTGTATGACCCAGCAAATTAATCCGCTGCATTGTACATCGCATCAATTTATACTGTCAAATTTATAATTTTCAAAATTAAAATCTCTTAATTTATAAAAAAATTACTAATATACGACTATACGCCTACATCTTATTCTCTCTTTCTCTCTCTCTCTCTGCAACCATCTCATAATAATCATCATTAATACTCATGCGAAAAATATATGAGATTATTGAAAATCCTCAAGGAAATATTTAATATAGGATATAAATTTATTTACATACAAAGCATACATACGTATTATAAACATATATATATATATATATATATATATATATATAAAAAAAATGTGTATGTATACATATATTAAACAATTAAAATTTAAATGTAAGTATATTTTTTAAATGTCTCGCAAAAAGTTAAAAATGCATAAAACTTTCCTAACATGTCACTATATGCAATACTCCGCAAATGCAATAAAGCATTAAGAAATAAATCTTAAGAAATTGATCGATCACACTCGAATGTGAGAAGAATAATCTAATATGATTGATTAACTTCTTAAGGCTTATATTAAAGCTTATTACTCTATTATGTTTGCAGGATTAGAAATGTGTCAACAGTTCGATAGCAGAATAAATAAAAAATATGGATAAATTGATCAAATGTATCCATCCACATTAAACTTATCTCTCGAAAAGAAAATCGATTAATATTACGTTTCCTAATATAGCATGTTTACATATAAATATAAAACAGTTTTGTATTTATTATTATATAATCCGTATCGATAATATTATTGTCTATTGTGACTTCTCGGAAGAATAATATATCTTGACAATTGGAAATATTCTACTAAGAGCACAATTATATTATACAGGGTAAGTTTCTAAAAATATGACACTTAATTTACGGAGTCCACACACACACTCCATTACTTTAAATACTGCCCTGGTAGAAATTTTTCCTATAATTTTTATACGAATTAGAACATTTTTCAAAGAAATTCTTAGAAATATTCGTAAAGTTTATATCTTTTTTTAATAATATTTCGAATATAAGATATGTAAAATATTCATATAATATTTGAAAAATGAATAATAATAAAGATTTATCATAAATATTCTGTGCTGTCTGGGTATTGCATGCAAATTCCTATTTTTATGGAATGATACAAATGTAATTAAATATTGAAACATTTTTCGTTTTAGATTCGTAATCATGTTAAACAAATTTACAAGAATCATTCACAATTATCAAAAATTACGAGTAAGATATCAACACGATTGTCAGAAATTCGCGCTCATAAAGAATATTTTCGAATATTCTATAATTGAATTTAATAAATAATGACACACATACATGTAAGTTTCCTTGCAGCAGCTCCAATTAGTGGAAAACGACATAAGCTAATGATATTGTTACTATTAAATATATCAATATTAATTTTGAATAATCCATTAATTTTACTTGTTTTTAGTTTTTACGTAGATCTTGTAATATTGTTTTTTACTATTTTTTTAACTTATTAGTTACTTATCAGTTATTTTCTATATATTTAATCTCGCTTTATTTGTTTATTATTGATTCTTTTCTTTTTATTATTATTGTAAAGCTATCTCTCTTGTTTTTGTATTATTTTTAGTATTTCATATTAATAATATTATTATCAGAGTATATGTATATATATAAAACATAAATATATCTTAAATTAATTAGAATAAATTATTTATACGTTCATCATTATATTATCCATTATTCTTATAAATATTTTAACTAAAAATTACGTTCTTACGTAAAATGTAGAACAATTATAACATTTTCTTCTAATTATGGAATTACATACCTCAATTATAGTTTATATATTGTTTAAAAACTAGCATAAGGATGATATATGCTAGTTTTTAATATTTCAGAACAATCTTCAATTCTTTATAATCTGTAAATTAAGTTGCTGTTCTAAGTTGATGATGTTCATAAATTATATAGATAGCGGGAAAATTTGTCAATTTATTGTTGGTTATGAATCTAGCTTATAATTCTGTTGTTGCTTTCAAAATCAAAATCAAAAATAAAAAAATTTTACGTAATAATACTTAGATTGTCTTTATTTTATATCAATAAAATATATGTTGTTTTATATTTCATTCAATTATATATTAGGTGTTGGAATTAATTCGTAGCGTTTTACAAGTGATGGGAAGTACTTTCATTAATGTATTTTTTAATGCTCATGTGAAATAAATAACATTCTTTCATTAAAAAACTACGAATTAATTCCAACACCTAATATAATGCTCCATTTGTAAAACATTAATAAATTGATTTACTATAATCTGTTGCGAAAAATATAGAAGATTAGAAAAGGTTGTCTAAAAAAGATTGTCAATTTTGATATGTATGATTTAGATCTGTACAAAATTTAAGTATTTAGAAACTTATTTTTAACAATTATACAGGATAATTTTAACATATTTCGTCACCCATCGTGAGCAGATAGAATGAATCGAACTGAATCGAAAAATCCTCTACCATTTTGCAATTTTCGCAATAGTTAACAAAATATTAATTATTAATTTTTTTAATTCATTAATGGTAATTTTTAGTTACATATTTCTTTCAAAAATTTTAATTCACACGACACGCAAATATCAATATATAATTATTAGATACAAAATAAAACTTTAAATGGTTTTTACTGCTAATGCTTCGTCGTATACTATATGTCGATGATTATAACGTACAATTCCTCCTCTGTACACGTGATTATATTAAATTAATATTAATATATACTATTAATTAATATATATGCATATATATACTATTAGTTACTATTAATATTATTTCTTAATATATTTCATATGTTATAAAGAAATATTTTTTTTATCAAGGAACGCATTTTTTTTGGCTCAGACATCGAAATGCCTGCTCTGTATCCACACTACATAAAAAAATCTCTTAATTTCTATAGTTTTCTGGTACACAACTGCAATGCTTTCTTCACAGGGAGTACTGCGAATCGTTTATTTAAATATTCATTCGTTACATCAGGCAAAGATGCTTCCATAATGGTTTCCGATCTTTGTCGATTAAGAAAACTCTGACACCTACAATTAAATTGAAATATTGATCCAAGAAGAGAATTTGAAAAACATACGTTAAATTCTATCTTATTACCTTTATAGAAATCATCGTCTCTGATCAGAGCAGTACAAACCAATCTAAACTTAATATTTAAACAATCCGTTAAGGATTTTTCTTTTCCTTCATCGATCGCTCTTTTGGTGATTTTGAGAGAAGACGGAGACATTTTGAATAGTACATCTATGTTTTTTGTGCCCAGTCTGAATTATCTTTTTCAGCCTTTATACAAAAAAATTATGTGTTACTATATTATAAGTGAAAATATATTAATTTAATTTTTTAATACCTCTATTTTACTTCTCAATGATCTCTTCAACGGTTGGACCAGAGAAACAATTTTCTATCTGTGACATATGAGATGTCAAGCTGAATTTATGATTTAATTTCAGTTGATGCTTGTTTAGAACAGTTAAAACGGACTTAATGTCAACTTCACGCAACGTTAACAAATCGCGTTTCAAATCCGTGAGTTTTTCTGATGGCACAAAATGCGTGGCGATTCCAGCAAAGAGAACGTCGACACTTTGTGATAAAACATATATTTATATATATATATATATATAAATAACCTTTCAACTTATGTCCTGTCAGGCCTCAAGTATCAAGTAGATACCCAGTTTACCTTTCAGTCTGGACAAGAAATAAGTCGCACCATTATCGGGAAATAATCCTATTGCCATTTCTGGAATAGCACAGAGAGAAATTTTTCCGTAGCAATTCTATATTTGCCAAGTATAATCCTACGCCGCCTTCCATTGTTATCTCATTGATGATAGCAATATAAGATTTGTTATATGTTCCGATTAAATGATTTAAGCTGGAAGCAAAGAAAAAAAAATTATTTTGCACAATTGATGCATTTGTTCTTGAATAGACACTTTTAGCACTTACATATAGCCTTGTCTAAATGTTTCTTCAATCAAATAAAGGTCTTTTGTTTCACTCAATGCCAAGGCAAGCGATTTAACGTCACCACCCGCACAAAACGCTTTTTCACTCGTACCTTCTATTATTACCAACTTCTTTGAAAATTCCCATTGGTTAAGAATGGAATATACCATATTTTTTGGATCATGGATAAATTTATGGCATAATTCCTTAGGTCGGTTTAAAATTATTACACTCTTATCTCCAACCTTTTTATGTATAATTTTTATACATAATTAATATCTTAATTACCCAGATAGCAAAGCGTGTCTCAGCAAAATCGCACAAATCTATGATTGCTTGTGATGCTTGCCTTAGATTTGTCTTCAACGATTTCGAATATACCGACATTATAGCAACATGCAGGCAACAATGTGTATATGTACCAGCAGTTTAACAAAAAGATAGCTGCATCAGTGTTATTTTGTGTTGTCAGCAATATGATAGCATTGTATAATGTTGCATATTATGATTGCAGTAATATGAATGATGATTTTGATGATGACGATTTTAAAGTTGTCAAAAAATTGCTGACTTTGAGTCACTACTCAAAGTTTTCGTTCAAATTTTAACAATTATATAAACTTCTATAAGACTGTATAGCCATCTTTAATAGTATCTTATAAGCAATTTATATTAATGTTATTTTCTAAGAAGGTTTATATTGGTCTTCTTTTTCCCGCGCAAATGATATAAATATTCACACCGGTTCAATTTCCAGATTGTGAAGTCTGTTCGTGTTGCTTGCACTTTTTGCATTCAATGCGGACCGATCGTGAGCGCGCTGATAGTCTTACGAGCGTTAATTGGATCGTATCCTACATTTGATTTAAAAGATAATGATGAAAGATATATAAATATCTAAGATCTAAAGAATATTTCTTTTATAATATATTACAAATTGATATGCTCTAAGAAAAGAAATATATATTATTGTATTTTATATTTATATATATATATATATATATATATATATATATATATATATATATATATATATATGTTGCAGAAATACATTTACATTACTGTGTGATGGAAAAAAAATAAGATCATTAGTAACACGTATATATGCATCGATACAATATATATGTATATGAAAGAATTAAAGATGTAAGCTAGGTTCGCTTTGGCGCTCACGACGCTTTAAGCATCATTTCATCCTTGTTGTTTATTAAATATTAAACAAGAACAATTGATGCTCACAATAAACCTTTAGATACTAAAATAGCGCATTCCTTTTATCTGAGTTGAAATGCCGACGAAGTCTTCTTATTAATCATTTCGATCGCCATTTCGCTTTAATTGTCTGTAGTCCAATAAGCGCTTATTATTGATATAGGGTATGGTTAGTAAATATAAAATGGAGGGCCTATGGT